GGGCTAAGGGCCCCTCCCGAACGCCCTTCTTTGGCCTGGGGAACTGTCCGGAGATCTTCAGCTCCTGCGCCCTGGAATCCTGCCGGCGGACACGCCTTCCTGCCGCCGCTCTGCGGGGCTCATTCCTTGGAGGGCATTTTCTCCTCTCGCTGGCCCTGCTGCTCTGGGCTCGCTAGAGCAGCCCTACCCTTTCTCCTACACCACCCACCGCCGTCCACCGTCCTCTTCTAGCTGCCTCCCCGCCCAACTTCCTGCCTTATTCCTCCTCTCCAATCTCCATCCTCCCTGGCTGCTGGCTGGAGGAGTCTGACCCAAACCATCAGCTGTGCCTAACCCCCCTGGGGAGCCCTCAGTAGCGGTGGGGACTGGGTAGGAGACAAGGACAAAGACGGGACACTGGAGTCTAGTCCTCAGTGAGGCCCGAAAGAGGGTTCAACTGCCTGGATAAAAGCAACCAGCCAGGGCCCTTAGCATGAGGGGTGAAGGCCCTTCCCACCTTGCCTGACCCCTGTGGCCCCAGCCTTGCTGAGTGAGAGTAAAGGCCCTCTGAGCGCAGGGGCCACACCTGTCCTGGTCGCTGCCCTGGCCCCAGGCTCCAGGTGTCACTGACTTTTACTGTCTCCTGAATGACCTGTCACTGCATAATTCTTCCCTGGGCTGTGCTTTTTCTCCTAGCATGCTTAGAGTAGTTTTTCTTTCCTCTTTGCCTAATGTCTGCCCCTCTCCTCTGGGAGGTCTTCCCTGCTCCCTGGCTGAGTTCTGCACAATATCAGCCATCGAGGCACATGTCTGCTCTTCTTGAGCCATGAAGGGTGATAACCCGATAATGCCGCCACGCGAGTGGCAGACATGGTCTCTGTCCTGTGTGTGCCTACGCTCTTGCTGCTGGAGCATGCAGGATGAGAGGAATTGTATCAAGAGATGAGACTGAAGAGATGAGCCACAGAATGGACCCAGGCCTCACTGAGGCTGTTTAGACAGCCCTGTCCAGTAGAACTTTCTGCTCTGGCACTGTCTTCAGTGCTGTCCAGCATGGTAGCCACCAGCCACCTGTGGCTGCTGAGCACTTGAAACGTGGCTAGTTCAACAAAGGAGCTGAATTTTTTTATTTTACTTAATCTTAATTTAAATTCAGGTAGCCACATGTGACAAATAGCACTGGGCCTTTCTTTAAAAAAGTTTCTCTTCCTCTGCATTCTTACTTTATCGTCCTCTCCTTTGTCTTCAAACACTAGGGTGGAAAGATTATAATTCAATTTCCTCTGGGTTTTTTTTCCCCCTGCAACACTCCATGATTCTGTGACATAATCTTTAAACCTTTCTGATTGTAAATAATTTGTCTTCTGGAGGACAATTTATTTAACCCGCCCTCTTATAAATGTGCATGCAGTAATTGCCAGTTTCTCAGTCTTACTAAAGTCACCTTGAATCCATGTGCAGTAGTCAGTATATGTCATCGTTTTCTTGCGGTAAATTCATAGAAGTGATGAAACTTAGTGGATCCAAGAAATGAACATTTTAAAAAGCTTTTAAAGCATAGTGCCAAATTGCCCACCAGAATGTTGTAGCAATTCAATTCCCCAAGAGGGTATAAGTAGATGTGCCTGTTTTTTCTCATCCTTAGCATTAGGCATTATCATTTATGAACAGTTGCCAAAGTAGTGCCTTGTCTGAATTTGAATTACTTTGTTTAGTAGCAAGGTGAATCCCCCCCTTTTTTTCATAATTTGTATTTCTTTTTAAGGAAATACATATGCTGTACATTGTCCATTTTCCCTTGACATGTTTATCTTTTCCTGACTGAATGGAAGCACTTTTGTTTATTAAGAGAATTCATTTAGGGAGTCAAATAGGTAGCAAATACTTTTGTGCAGTTCCTTTTTTGTGAAGTTTCTTTTTGTTTTTTGACCTTTTGTCATGTTTTTAAAAATTAGTCAAATCTACTATTTATTCCTTCTGTTTATGCTTAGTTAGAAAAGATTGCCCTAGTTTCACTATGGACCAGTATCCATCCACAGTGTCTACTGTTGTCTGTGGCTTATAAAAAAAAATTACCTGTTTAATCGACCTAACTTTTCCCCTAGTTGTTTCAGAATTCAAAATTTTTTATTGTTTCCTAAAAACAAAACCTCACTTTGAAGTGAGACTGGGAAAAGCTATCTTGTATTGGGCAGACATGTGGACTCTGGGGTCCACAGAGGAACCCCTGTGAAATACAGAACTGTGCAAGTATGTAGGTCTCTACTCCAGGCCCGTTGTTCTAGGGAGTCGAGGGTGGTGACGAGATGATCAGAACGTCCTGCAGGAGAGTCTAGGGCAGCCTGGGTGAGGCTCAGCCTCGGCAGTGTGCCACTGCCACATTAGCCTCCGATCCCCCAGGTCCTCAGCGGCTTCTCATTTCCTGTTGTATCAAGTAAAAATGCTACAGCCCTGTCAGAA